ACTGGATTGTCTTGTCCAGACTCGATTATTTTTACAGACCGCCGCCATATAGCTGGAATATTGCGGAGTGCGGCGTTAAAAAACAAACAAACCAAACAAACAAATCATAGAGAGAAGTTAATGTAATTGAACTACTTTCTTTATAAAAGTGTAATAACTTCAATCGGAAGCTGTGAAGTGTACCCGCGTAGTGATACGCGTCTGTGTGTTGTCTCAAACATGGCGCTGTATGAACCTCTCTACCAATAAAACCTGCCTGATTGCACAACGACTCCTCAAATCATGACAGCTGACGGTATGAATAGTGTAAAGTCTGGTCATGTTGTTTTTTAGTTAATTCTGAAACTTAGTATATATAGCGAGCGGGAAATGAAAACATACAGTGGGTGAAAATGAACAATTTTGCCCAGTTGAACATTAACAATCGGTCGATATCAGGACAAAAACATCCTACCCACCATGAGTACCGAACAAAAATGGCGGCAAAGTGGGAGTTTTGAACATGGCTCGTTTTGAACTATGTGATCAAACGAATTGTGGGATGAAGGAACTGAATAATTCAACATTATTCATCCAACAACAATATGACTGATTCCCTCTTATCCATGAAATGGGGTTCGGCGTACATAACGGAAGCCTTCCGTCTTTTTAACAGAAACGTGAATGTTTTTTTCTCGAAAAAGAAGATAGAAGGGGCTCCTCAAATCCCGTATATCCTTCGAGGCGTGGAAGATGAAGGGCTCAAACTATACAACCCGTGGACATTAATTGAAAAGCAACAAAGAAATCCATTACGCATTTGGAATTGTTTTGAAGAGCAATTAGAACTACATAATTGCACGACTGAAGTTACACCAAAACTATCAAGGCAAGATGCATTTTTGGGTAATTTTGTTACCAGATCTCGCAATTAAGTATGCCAGAAATTCACAGTATTAGAACAGACCTAGCATCAGCACCCATACATGATTTCCAAAAATCTCCCCTTTGCCAAAGTGGGCATAAGTTAGATGAAGCCCTAAAACTAGGCAGAACTTTTGAACTCTTCAAAGTTTTGCCTGAACTCTTCAAAGAACATGGGCACAGAATTAAACTCGACAACGATCAATGCCATTCGAAAATCAAATCTCATCTGTACCGGTGATCATCCAAGAGAACCAAAAAGTAAATGTCCAACCTTCTCTAAATGTGACGAAGGAGGTATTACGGGACATTGGCAGAGATGGTGTTTACGTAAGAAACACAATAATCAACTCTCAAGAACATCTGGTAGATCATGGCAGGGAGGCGGACGTCGATCCCATTCACGAGAAAGACATGACAACCATGATCAAGGACAGTGAGTGGGTGAGTGAGTATGGTTTTGCGCCGCTTTTAGCAATATTCCTGCAATATCACGGCGTGGGACACCAGAAATGGGCTTCACATATTGTACCCATGTCGGGAATCGAACCCGGGTCTTCGGCGTGACAAGCGAACGCTTTAACCACTAGGCTACCCGGCCGCGCCAGGATCAAGGAGTAAAGGCAGGTGACTAGGCCGAAATCAACGAATATCCAAGCAATAGTCACAAGAGTTGGGAACATTCAACATGTACAATGAGAATTTAACGAAGACCAATCCGTCATAACGAAGGTCGAAGAACACCACGATTGGTGCACCAGCTCAGCTTTCTCTACAAAATCCAACAGGTCTCTGAGGCAGGTGACTAGGCCGAAATCAACGAATATCCAAACAATAGTCACAAGAGTCGGGAACATTCAACATGTACAATGAGAATTTAACGAAGACCAATCCGTCATAACGAAGGTCGAAGAACACCACGATTGGTGCTCCAGCTCAGCTTTCTCTACAAAATCCAACAGGTCTCTGAGGAAACATCCTGTATTAATGCATTAATGTAACATAGTAAATTTCTGGGATAGCTTATATACCCATTTTGAGTGATTTTCCTTCCTTGTGACTGATCCATCTTTCTGACGTGAAGATTCCGGGGTAGAATAGGTCGTCAGCAACCCATGCCGTAAAAGGCGACCATGCTTGTCGTAAAAGGCGACTAACGGGATCGGGTGGTCAGGCTCGCTGACTTCGTTGATACATGTCATCGATCCCAATTGCGTGGATCGATGCTCATGCTTTCAATCACTGGATTGTCTGGTCCAGGCTCGATTATTTACAGACCGCCGTCATCTAGCTGCAATATTGCTTAGTGCGGCGTTAAACAACAAACCAACCAACCAACAACCATCTTACTGATATGTCTCTCTACATATCCATTATTTAACAACTGTAAGTGTTCAACGTTTGTTTGCGTTTTCTAGAACGTGAGCTACAGGATACCTCATTACCACAGAGGCTAGATACCAATCCTTCACGAATGGCACAGTTAGAACCTACCTTCCAAACAGCGTCTGAACACACACCGACATGTAAAGTGTGTTTGCTTGGTAAAGATAGACATGTTGAGGTGTCTGGAGAGTGTTTGGTACTGGTCTTGTGTCAGCTGTGGAGAATGGATGGGCGTTATCTCCAATGGTAGACTTGTTGACACTTCTCTCAAATACGTGTGCTCGAGTTTCACGTTGTTTTGCACTACGGATGTAGTGGGGGTCTCCGGGGTTAATCTTACCGATACATCCTGGATAAGTCCCGAGACTAACAAAAATATACCGTGTATTTCGGTCCTCTTCGCCCCTTGAGAATCAGTCCCATGTTAGTTATGTCTCTATTCACACTCAAAAGGTGAGGTGAGGTGAAATGGGGTTTAACGTCGCGTCCAAGATTATTGCGCTTATATAGCGACGTGCATGTACGTGTGTGTGTTTGTGTGGCTGCTTGTACTAGTCCGGACTGATGCCGATTTATAGTGCTAGCTCACTGAGATACCATGCCGTAGTTTAACATGAATACCCCACTCAGACACAGTATGCTGACTCCGAGCCGACCAGTCCTTGTTTTAGCCCCTTAATGCCGAGCGCCAGACAGGGTAACAACAAGTACCATCTTTTAACGTCTTTTGCTATGACGCGGCCAAGGATCGAACCCCGGACCTTCCGCTCTCCGGGCGGACGCTCTACCACTGGACCAATGAGGCGGTCTTCACACTCAGAATGTTGCTTAACTGCATGTTTCCAGAGTGTAGTCAGTTTGTTGCAAATTGTGCGCCAGAACCCGGAAGTATAGTCATAAATGTACAGTTTAGTCTAAGCAAAACACACCGAGACGTGACTTATCAACACAGTCTACATTCCTTGCCAAATCCTCTAAATAAACACAAGAAAACGTTATTTTGGTATTCTTTCGCAATTAACAGCCCATTGATGATCGGGTGAAGGGTTTGTTTTTTTAGGAGAGGCCTGTGATTTTCTGTATCTTGATAATAATGAGTCATTACTATAAAATGTACCCTTGATCACACAAACGTACTCGAGATACACAAATGTTGGATATTATTTTATTGACTTTACAGCATGTCCCTGTGAACGATTGTTTTATATTCTTTGTATTTTCATTATTTCTTTTTTTAGACCAATCATTATTTGCCAGCATTTCCAGGAACAGTTGAAAACATAATTCGATTCCTTACATTGGTGTGAAGTGTTCAAGCCTAAATACTGGCTTTCTTCATGATATTATTGCATGCATTTTGCTGAACAAACGAGTTAAACCCAACTCATTCACTCACTCAATATTTGAAGCAGGTTAATCTAAATCGAAACAGTAATGGTCACTTCACCTATAAACTATGCCACTCTTGACATGCCTGTTACTTGTGGCATCAGAAAACTGCACCATGTAATCAATTTGTACAAAGATAACACGAAGCACATGTATTTCTCATCACTGCACTAATGGATGGGAATATGTGTGTTTTTTTGTGCTATTTCCACTCAATAGTTACATGAAGTAGCTGCAGAGATGTGTGATTAAGGGTATATCATGCACTTCACTGGGGGCTTTCGGGTTGCATTTACTTGATGCGGGCTGTCATCTGTGAATAACCCCTTTCGCATGGCGTCATTCAGAAATCAGCATCTTCCCTTAGTTTCCATTCGTGTAACATAGTACTGTCGATACCCCAACAAAACTCATTTTTTTTCTATCGTATAATTCGATCGGGGAAGAAGATGGATAATGTATTAAACATGTTACAGCCTTAAAACTATTTTGAAAGTATCAGAGTCACAGTTGGGAATAAAAGCTCAAATGTGTCTTATCAACTGAAAACATAACACTCGTACACATACTGTGCACCAAGCAGTAATGTTAGAATCGATTCTTACCTCATAGTGACTTAAAAAGGACGTAAGGTAATGAAGTAGATAAGGTGTGAGTGATATTCCCTTGGAGAGCAATAGATGGATAATACACGCGACTGATATTTCGACAGGGAAACAAATTTATGTTTTCCTCGATTGATATGCACATGCGTACGTTCTATTTCCTTTTCATTTCCCATATCTATTATCAATAAAACCTGTATTTCACAGGAGTAAAGTTACACCCGTTCTTTGGCAACGGCCCATGAACGGTTTCCTTTACTCTTTGTCACATGATTTAATAAATTAGGTCCTGTGTGGCAGAGAGATTACATAGCCATGGGTTCATACGGTACCCGGATGTGCACATAGGTCACCTTTTAGGCTGAACAAGTAGCTGCATGTTGCCTTGTTTACTGGAAATATATTGTGTTCTAAGAAGACTTAGTCAAGATTATTTTTGTGTACTTTAGGGACAGAGGACACTGCAAACATACGCTCAATAATGACGTGGTCATCAACTGGTCTAAAACTTCTGAAAATTAGCGATAAATATGTATATGTCGATAGGCCTACGGTATATTGTCATAATATTCTGTATGTTCTTGTTTTGACAAAAACACATTTTATGAAAGATTTTTCCGACGATTATTTAGTTTGTGACATAATGTCATCCCGAGTTTCAATGTGAACGTTTTAGGACAGGGGGAAGTCATGAGAGATTGATTTGTTTTGTTTCAGGATGGTCTGAAGAGGCGTATGGAGACACTGAAAAAGAGTATCATGGAGGCGAGCGTGGCTGTGGACACTGAGAAGCAAAAGAACGTCAGTCTGTTACAGGACATCTTCCCACCAGAGATTGCCCAGAAACTGTGGCGAGGTAGGTTGTTTTCTGTGATGTAGGTACACTAGATTCTTACGGGACATCTTCCCACCAGAGATTGCCCAGAAATTGTGGCGAGGTAGGTTGTTTTCTGTGATGTAGGTACGCGAGTCTTTTAATGGATATGTTACCGCCAGGTGTTGCCTGAAACTGTGCCAAGGTAGGTTGTTTTCTGTGTTGTTGGTACACTAGATTCTTACGGGACATGTTACCACCAGGTGTTGCCCTGGAACTAGCGCGAGGTAGGTTGTTTTCTGTGATGTTGGTACACTAGATTCTTACGGGGCATGTTACCGCCAGGTGCTGCCCTGAAACTGTAGGTACACTAGTTTGTTACGGTGTTACCGCCAGGTGTTGTCAGGAGTCTTCACCAGGTAGGTTGTATAAAATTTTAAGGATGGGGGATTTAGGAAAATCAGACACTTAATCCACGTTTCCACCAGAAGTTCCATAAACTATGCACGTGTCGAGGTAGTCGAAAAGTTTATAATGAAAGCAGTACAAAACTTTTCAGGAAGCCTTTTCTCACAATGTATTATCTACAGTTGCAGGTCTACCATTTATTTCACATTTACTGGAAACTAGATTTGCAAATAATATTTCTTTAACGTCCACAAAGATGATAAGTTACATGTCTCACCGACAATAGAACGCTTGAACAAAACTAAGCGGTTTTGAATGTGGTTATTTTGTAAATGAGATATTAAAAGGCATTTGATAGATGATACCTTTTGCTGAAGAATGCGATCATCCTACGGCAGAATCTCCAAAGTATAAACAAGTTCTTGGTTATTACTGGCACCGCTACACAGTATTAGAAAAATCACGCCCTTTGTGGAACGACACTGCTGATGCAAAATACACAAATGATTAATGGCAACGAACCTAATGAAATTTCGTATCAGATAAAGACTATTATTCTTTTCCTGATCAAATACATGATGTCATGAAGGAGTCAATGTATTAATTGAAGAACCGATTACTGCCAGAGTTATTTCAGATGTCTGTGGGGCCATATGGTGAGTAACATCTGTTGGCCAGAAACAACACTGTCACATCGTGTTCAGTAAAAAGTGTACTATGCCCACTACACTGAACCTTATGTGCCTCTTTAGTCTCCCCTCGGATATGATTCTGTTTCTTTCTCGCTCTTTTTAACGTTTTCTCTGAGGCTTTTATTTGCACCCTCGTCTTGGATTCACTTGCCAATTTAACTTCTTGGAAAACAAACTACTTGCAAAAACATGAACGCTAATTCTGTTAAGTTTGTTTTCGTCTTTCTTTACCTGGAACACGCGCCTCCCACCATGTAATGAATTGCGCCATAAGTCTCTCTTGCAGATACTATCTTTTTCCAAAGCAGGCTTCTCAGATTTATGTCAATTAAGACCATGTTTTTAGTTATCTGATGTTCGACAAAGCCCCTGCCAGTATTATTTTAAGCCCACAGGGTATTTTAGCCCATAAAGAAAGGCCTTTGTGGAAGCCGCTAGCGGGATCTGTATATCTTAAACTGTTTAGTAGATGCGACTGCAGGCCCTTCCACCTGCTGTTTGGCATGCTGATGTTCAGGACTAGATACTTCATCGATTGCTACGCCACTTCCACCAAACCTTGCTAAACTTTCTTGAAGGGCTTATAAATCAAAGTAATCGTATTATTTCGAGTATTTCCCTTTTTAGCGTGTATTTTGATTAAACGTCCTCCACTACTGATATCCAGTCTGATTTGTGTCCTGTTCTTGTCGTGGTATCAGTTCCACCGCGTGCACCATATTTGCTGTGTGTTGACCCTGATATGCCGATAAAATATAGCAACACATTGTTGATTAGTTATAATAAAGACCACTCAAAATAAGTTTAAGAACACCGATTCTTTTATAATACTATAGGTAATCTGCCATGCCACGACAGAAAAGTAATATGAAAGAATCGGATGTTCTTTTACTTCCTTTGAAGATTGATCCTCAAACAATATCAAGCACTTCAGGAAGACTTAATGCTGTACTGGGAGGTCATACAATGTTACCAATTACAAACTTGGACAAATTGCAGTATGTGTTTGTCATTCACATTGCATACAAGTGCACGGACTTTGAAAAATTGGACATATGTATACATGTATAAGTGTATTCCAGAGCGATGTGGGGGCACGGGTGGCCCAGGCGTCTAAGGCGCCGCGATTCGCTGTGCAGAGTTGCGTCCCTTGGTTACGCCAGAAACCTATGATTGTAGGTTCAAATCCCGGTTCGCCCCGATTATGTTTCTATATCTGCCAGTACTTCACCGAAGTGGTAAACGTCTGAGACCTGCACCACATCGGGCTTTCCTCCCACATTAAGCTGACACGCCGTGATATAACTGGAATACTGTTAAAAGCGTCGTTAAACCCAACTCGCTCACTCAGAGCGATGTGCGATGTCTTGACAACGCATTGCTCCAGTTGGTGTGCACTTTTACAGCACTGATTGGTCACAGACAATGAAGGCACATGCATATACCTTGACGTTGAGGTTAAGGATAGACACAGACGAAGTCCTAATTATACCAATGTACGGTGGTTAATGTGTAGTACTAATTTGACGAACACGACATGCTTAGACTCTGACAATATTTAGTACTGTTTGGTCATTGATAATTCCTCCAAATGCATGTACCTTGAAGATGAAGATGAAATAATTATAGCAATGCCAGGGTCTTGACAAAGTATTGTTCCAGTTAATGAAACACGGTATGCACAGACTATGACAATTGTAGTACAGATTAGTCATAGAAAATGCCTGCAGTTAAAATACAGAGTGACAAACGCGATGTCAATGCACGGGTTTGAGTGAGTGAGTGAATATGGTTTTACGCCGCTTTTAGCATTATTCCAGCAATATCACGGTAGGGGACACCAGGAATGGGCTTCACACATTGTACCCATGTCGGGAATCGAACCCGGTTCTTCGGCGTGACGAGCGAACGCTTTAACCACTAGGCTACCCGACCGCCCCCTGCACGGGTTTGAACAATGCGTGGTACCTTTTCGTCAACCACAACATGCCAGACTTTGTCAATATTGAGTACAGATTCATATACAATTCATAGAAATGCATGGACATTAGACAGTTGACGTAATAGATGACTATATAGATGATTTATGAATTACACAAATGCACGGACTTCGATAATGTGTGGTACTGGTTGACACAGATTATATTTAGAAAAGCACGGAATTTTTAAAGTGCAGTACTTGAAAGTCATTGAAGATATGCACGGGCCGAGATATAGGGGGTTCTGGGTGCCGTTGTACAAAACAACCTTAGCCCTACGACAGTCGTAAGTCTATGTTCAGGTATTGGAGTTACGATCACCTTAGCGCTAAGATAGCTTTGTACAACGACACCCTGGTCAGAAATACATACCACTACACTGTGTTGGACAACGTTGTCATGGTCTATAAATGTAACCATGAGGATAAGAGCTGAGATGAATGAAAAGGATATTACATTAGAGTAACAGGCAGCGCAGTTTGTCTAATTAAATTAAAGGTGCTAAATGTGATAAGTTGTATATTCGTGCGCTTAATGTGTTCATTTACGTGTTATGACGAGTACGTCACAAACTGACATACAACTGGCGGCTTAGTTAATGAATGTAATTTCCTTGGAGCAGGAAATGTTACCTTGGGGTCGCTGACGGTGAAAAAAATGAATGCAGCACTCTTTGAACCAATTTTTTCAAATGTCAGAGGAAGACATGTGGGTTATTTGGTGCAATGGTCATCCCGACCGTCTGTCTACCTTTCTCATGTTTGACGTCTCAAGAACATGAACACACAAAAATGGCTTGTTTGCTCTGGTCATTGCAGCTAAAACGACACTAATATTAAAAGAAAGTGTTAATACAGTGGAAACTTTGCTTGCATGATATTTTTAATGTCTGTTTTGACTTTTATTCCACAAAGCAATGAAACTGAAACTTGTGGATATACCGACGAATGACATCTGTCAAATGTGTTCGCATATGCTGCATCCAATGTACTTGTAGGTTTGCATGGAAACCCTTTTCTAAAAATCACTTCCGGCCGTCTGAACGCAACATTTAATCACAGTGAAATATCTCCTCATGCATGAACAGCACGTGATGCACGTGCCCGCAGAAGCCAAAGCGTGTGCGTCTTTAGGGTAGCTCACAATCACTGATGCAAATGAGCTGAGCACACGCTATAAGTATCTCAATGAACAGAAAAATGTCGAATACTGTGGGTACGATAGAGGGGGTACGTCAATATCCCAACTGGCCCGAATGTTTGGCAAATCAAAAAGTGTAAAGTGACATTTGTTGTTCTTCTTATTGATTTGTTGTTTGACGCCGCACTTAGCAACATCCCAGTTATATGATGGCGGTCTATAAATAATTTAATCCAGACCAGACAATCCAATGATTGACATCATGAGTATCGATCCCCCTAATTGGGATCGAGGACATGCATCAACCAGGTCAGCGAGTCTGACCACCCGATCCTGTTAGTCGCCTCCTACGACAAGCATAGTCGCCTTTTACGGCAAGCATGGGTTGCTGAAGACCTATTCTAGCCCGGATTGTCACGTGTCAAGGTGACATTTGACTGGCCAGCAATATGTTGACGAAATATTGCGACCTGACGTTGTCCCAATTCGCTTAAACTATCGGCAGAAATTTTGAACTGCAAAATGACAATGACAGACCCCTCGTGCACAGGTCGTCACCGATTATCTCCCCAATTCGCCCTAATAGAGCATCTGTTCCCGAGAAAAGAGACCTTGCACCCGCCACCGTGGCCTAGCTTTGGGTAGCTCTTAAGGCGGAATGGTGACAATACCAAGGGCAACCATACACAAATTAATCACCATTATGCCATCAAGGTGTCGTGGATGTATCGCCCAACATGGTGGCCAATCCAGATATTGATCTGCACTCTCCAAATTAGTTTTACAGACATTTTATCGTCATTTCACCATCGCTATCATTTCATCACTTCCCTTATTTTTTATCGATATGGCATATTGTTGTCAATATGCAAAAGGTTTCAACATTGATGATATGTTTTTACAGTATTTCGTTTTTTTGATGATTGCACAACTCTCAAGTAAAAATATCATTTGGAACCAGATGAGCTGCACAGCTTAAGGCTATACTTTTTTTTTAATTTCCCACCAAGAGTCAGCATTAATCTATGACCTCAGGAGTCAGCTGTTGTGGAATCTTCAGAGAGTCTCTGGCGGCTTGTTAAGTGAGTTCGATAGCATTGCTACAAGTCTGAAAAGACCAGGAGGGTAAAGTGATGAAAATACGTTGTTATTGAGGAATTCACCAATTTCATAACGTCATCTCCTTCCAGGTGAAAGTGTGGAACCGATGAAGATCGATGACGTCACCATGTTGTTCAGTGATCTTGTTGGGTTCACGGCCATCTGCTCCACGGCCACGCCCATGCAGGTCGTCAACATGCTCAACTCCCTCTACACCCATTTCGACAACTACTGCGGCCTGCTCGACGTGTACAAGGTAACACTGTGATTGAAACCTTGTTTTTGAATGTTTGAATTTACGCCGCTTTTGGTCACAAGGAAGCAATTTCAAGACATGGGCATCCACAATTTACTGATTTGAGGAAATCGAACTTGTTCTCCATTATGAGCTAAGCACTATCTACTTGGCCACCAATAAATGTATAATATTTATATGACAGATTTTGATGCCTAAAGCGTAACGTGTAACAAGTTCTTAGGATATGACAGTACCACATGTTGTAAAAACACATCTTAACACTACAGTTACTTATTCCGTTTACTTCATTATCTTTTAAAACTAAAACAGATACCCCTTCCTATGATCATAATAATTATGCCCGAAAATCAGACAAGCCCCTGATGACCTCTTGTCAGCATTAAAGCTGTAACTGACGTGTTAGTACCTGCAAGTGTCTCATAAAAAAACATAATGGGGGATGTATTGATGGATCACTATCAAATAGTAATGACACCAGGTATCCTGTCGCACGGGTGGTACAAACACATGCAGAGTCAAGTCAAGTTTTCATCATGGAAACATGTGGTGCAAGTCAAAATTGGGAATTGCATAAGGTATCTTTTTGGTCACTGATGCGTCAAATTTGGACATTTTCTCCACCATAAAGATTTGCAAAAACTTCTGCGGTTTTGGACGTTGTAACCCTGGTCAAACAACTTATGAGCAAGTTGTATGACGCTATTTGAAATCTTCGTAGAAAGAGGATGCTCGATTGTACCCCAAAAGCTGTGATATGTAGACCCAAAATGCTGCAGCTGCCGGGATGTTCAAGTTATCCCTCTTATCATACAGTCTGGTGGATGTTTTTGACACTCTGATTAGTGTGTCTGTGTGTGTGTGTGTGTGTGTGTGTGTGTGTGTGTGTGTGTGTGTTTTTGTTTGTACTAGTCCGGACTAATGCCGATTTTATAGTGCTATCACACTGACATACCATCCCGCTGTTTACCATGAATAAATCGGAGACGACCAGTCTTTACTTTATCCCCTTAATGCACATCGCAAGGCAGGGTAACAAAAAGTACCATCTAAAACGTCTTTTGGGGCATGCTGTCAGGGCAGCCGCTCTGTCCACTGGACCACGTAGGCGGCCAGACCTTTTATAAGTGAAGTCTCTCACTCAGTGGTCCATTTTGCATAACTCTATTGTTATATTTCCAGCCAATGGGGGGATAAGGGAACAAACATTTGACTTTCAAGGTGTTTTTTTAATATTCAAGAGCTCAATTATTTTTCCAACATGAGCAGGTGCTCAATTTTTCTGTTTTTTAATTAAATCCTTAAAACTAACTGTATTCTGTAGACACATGTCTGAAGGAAAAGGGAACATTAATTGTTTCCCTACTATGCAAACCACACGCAATTTTTTTTCAGTTGATCGGGGGCTTGATTACTTTTTTAGAAAAAAAACGACCCTCAAGAAATCAAATGGTTGCTCCCTAATAGGGTTACACAATCGCTTGTGCGCGTGCAAATGGGCACATTGCCATTATCCTCCACAATGCAACACGAACCGATTATACGTTTCTATTAAATTATGCACGAGTTTGGTTTAGTTTCGTTGTAACCCTTCTCTATGCCGCACGCGGATTTCCGTTCTTCAAGACAAAACTGCTGTTAAAACTAGCAACCATCAACCCTACATCAACACACCAGGGGACTTAATTACCCGTAGAACATGCGCTCCAAGTGATCAGGGACCGCCGTTCATGTCGGTGGACACAAAGGTAGAACCCTGCACAAAATACGATACAGTAATGGTCTGCTTGGAGGCACGTACATAGGTAGAGTCGAATTCCCTGAGAAGGATGGTAAAATACACCCCGAAAATGACTCTGACAGGAACTAAGAGCATTGTTGTGAAGGGGCATCAAGCGACAGGGGAAGCGGGCGACTCGTCACGTTCTCTGACGTTACAAGTCACGACTTAGGGACAATGGATCTGAATGCTCAATAGTGCTTCTCTCCCATTTGTCTTACATTGTTCGCCAGAACTATATTGCCACGAGTTTCGAAATACGTTTTGTTTGATCTGTTTACAGGATAAGCATTTAGCGTAATTTTGATATAGCATTTAAAATGATTCTGACATTATAAAATTGTTTCAACTCCGGACTTGATTTCAGTAGAAATGATTTAGACTGGACTTCAACACCTATGTGCATTCTTTAGTATGTGCATTCTTTAGTATGTGCATTCTTTAGGCTTTCACCGGAAAGTTACAGGAGCATCATCACACGAGCAATATGTGCATTCATATTGCGATACATGAAGATCCGGGTAAGAATCGGTCTTCAGAAACCCATGCTTGCCGTAAAAGACTACAATGCTTGTCGTAAAAGGCGACTAACGGGATCGGGATCGGGTGGTCAGGCTCGCTGAATTGTTTGATTCATGTCATAGATCCCAATTGCGTGGATCGATGCTCATGTTGTCAATCATTGGATTGTCTGGTCAAGACTCGATTACTTACAGACCGCCGTCATAGAGCTGGAATATTGCCGAGTGCGGCGTTAAACAACAAACAAACAAACAAACATTAGCAGTGAATATTTTAAACTAATAGAGACTTCGAAGATTTTGGCACATAGTCCTATACTGATTAAAATTTAAAAAGTGGGATAGGATGGAATAATTATTTACCTTAACATGTCGTTATCGCTGATGTCGCGCTGCCTCGAATATACATTATGATCGCAGCAAATCATTGCAAATACCAGTTTATGCGTCTGTACCATATGAAAATAATGAACATCCATCTTAGTTAAGTGCCTTGTGGTATTAGCCTCCCAAAATCGTATTGTACCAGATTTATCACTTTCAATGCTTTCTAAAAATAATATTCCCACTGCGAGCCGCCTTCAGTTCTTGCCGAGCCGGTTTGGAGAGCGAAATGTATAATAAAGATACGTGAATGTTTATTACCAGATACTGCATTCGCCATCAGAGTTGCTGCATGCTGTTACTCGCCCACCTAATGTGGCCTTGTGAAGATGCTGATTGTGTTTGTATCACACAACCAAACACCAACTTTTTTATTGATATGCCTTTTTTTATTCCCTGTAATCAGTGCTTATTTACTTTTCATTAAGTAATTCTTCTGTAAATAAGACGCTCCTGTTTTGAAACTTTTTTATCGTTGACTACCGTTGTATTCTCCCCGTGAAGATCATTCAAAGATAATCTGATTACGTGAAAAGCTGATGTTGGCTATGAAAAACAGTGACTCTCATTCCATTTTGTCTACGACTTAAGTACTACAGAATTGATAAATATTTAGGAATGTCTCTGAACATGTGCCCGTGCGAATCCGGTTAAGAATCGGTTGTCAGGACCCCATGCTTGTCGTAAAAGGCGAATAACGCTATGAGGTGGTGATCAGGCTCGCTGACTTGGTTGATGCATGCGATTATATCTCAATTCCATGGATCGATGCTCATGAGGCTCACCGGATTGTCTGGTCCATGCTCGATTATTTACACATAGCCCTCATATAATTGGACTGTTACTGAATACGAAGTTTAACAACAAACAAACCTTTGCATTCACCAGGGTTTGCTATGATTAAGGATACATGCATGCATTTAGCAAACTAGTCTTCCTTCAACTGACCCATGAAGATCCAGGACAGAATAGGTCTTCAGCAACCCATGCTTGCCGTAAAGGAGACTATGCTTGTCGTAAGAGGCGACTAACGGGATCGGGTGGTCAGGCTCGCCAACTTGGTTGATCCATTTTATCGATCCCGATTGCGTGGATCGATGCTCATGATATCAATCACTGGACTGTCTGGTCCAGAGTCAATTATTTACAGACCGCCGTCATTTAGCCGAAATATTGCTGAGTGCGGCGTTAAACAACAAACCAACCGACCAAATCTTCCTTCAACTGAGACAGTCTGGAAATGGCTGGCAGTTCGGAATTTGCCTGGTACGTTTCAACATGTCTAGCACTATAAATACGCCAGTGAAGTTAGCGTTAAGTAATGTTCCAAACCGTGGCTCAATGGTCCGATGCGGCACCATTCTTGTACATGAGGTCCTCTCTTATTTGTATATGGATCCGCTGATCATATTTCGCACCTCACACTGAAACAAATGGTAATAAAGAAACGTGGTACTTCCTGAGACAAATGACTTTGAAATCGCAACATATGTGTTTTGACCCACTGTGAACAGAATACAGGGTAGGATGGTATATTGGTATCAATGCAAACCTGTTTGGAAAAGGACATGAGACAATACGTATTATTTCATTTTTTTCCTAATTCATAAACTCATTGAATATATATTTTACATCGTTTTTAGCAATGTTCCAAAAATATCACTGTGAGGAGGGATGAATAATGTTCCCATTGTACCCTGGAATTAAGCGTGAAGAAGAAACAATTTATTTTAATTACCCACTGAATGACGACCCGTGAAGATCCGGGGTAGAATAGGTCTTCAGTGACCCATGCGATCCCAATTGCGTGGATTGATGTTCATGATATAAATCACTGGATTGTCAGGTCCAGACTCGATTATTTTAAGACCGCCGTCAGATAGCTGGAATATTGCTGAGTGCGGCGTTAAACAACAAACCAACCAACTGACGGACCAGCCTAATTTGTGAATTTGCAATTAAGACCTTAAAATAGAATGCTGATTTGGATTTGATACTCCTATCTTGAATCCTGCAGTGCTGCTGTCCTGTAATCCTAGTTTAGTTAATTAGGAAAAAAATATCCTTCAAGAAGTCTCTGTCTGTTCCTGAAAATCATCGACAATTAGACGATACACTCAGTAAAATCTCAATCAGCATCTTTTTGATTGCTTTCTCAGTTGGTGCAATGGGGAACTGTACCAACAATCACTGAAACAAATCGTCTCGTTTGGCTGATAATGGATTTGATGTGGAAACAAATTGTTCGATAAGACCCAATATCTGGTTTTATGTTCTCAACCAAGTGCTGCAGATCGTTGTAGGCTGCAACTGTTAGCATCACACGTATCCAGGTCGCCCTCTTCTGCTGGAGATGAGAACAGACAAATTAAAAGAAAGGAAACTATAATGTAAAAATTAAGTAGAATGATATCATTTAAGGAGTAGTTTGTACTTCAAAGAAAACAAATATAATTAATATCCTCCTTATAGTTCACTTGGGTTGTGTTTTGGTATGCTGGAGTGCTGCTTCTGTGCGATGTCGGGCAAAGGAGAATATTTTTTTTCTTTGCGAAATGAGCTCTTGTTGTCATGGATCTGGGCTGGTTGTTCTCTGGAGTTAGAATTACATATCTTGTATCAGACGATGCGGTTTTGGGGAGATGCCCGCATTGGCGTTGGCGTGTGTAGCCTCCAGACCAGAATTTGATTCCTTTAATGTAAACTTCATAATGAACACTAATATTAAAAAATACAATTTGAAGCACGGTTATGTCAATTAACGTCTTTGTTGCAACCAGATTGAAACAATCGGAGACGCCTACTGCGTGGCAGGAGGGCTGCACCGGGCCAGCAAGTACCACGCCCTGCAGATCGCATGGATGGCAATCAAGATGATGAAGGCAGCTGCGTCACAGAAAGCGCACGATGGTGGAGCTATCAAGGTAGGAATGTATAGGATGGCAACAGACTGAGGCCGAGTGAGTGAGGTTGTGGTTTACATGCTCGGGACACAATTACACATGGCTTTTGCGTGGATGGGAAGTAAACTCAACTAGACGAATGGACATATGCCACTTTTTTCCTACAACTAACACGGATTCATGATCAGGACGACTTTTGGATTCGAACCCTCGACAAGTGTGCCGTTGTGCAAAGCGACCTTTGCGCTAAGGTGATCGTAACTCCCATGCCTTAACATAATCTTACGACAGTCGAAGCGCTAAGATTGTTTTGCACAACGGCACTAAGCTGTCCAGGCAATAAGAAATATGATAGTGAGTGAGTATGGTTTTACGCCGCTTTTAGCAATATTCCAGCAATATCACGGCGGGGGACACCAGAAATGGGCTTCACACATTGTACCCATGTCGGGAATCGAACCCGGGTCTTCGGCGTGACGAGCGAACGCTTTAACCACAAGGCTACCCGACCGCCGCAAGAAATATGATAAACATAGAGACGTGACATGTTCAGTTCCAAGAATTAGAAAAAACGATATCTACAGTGTGCAAATTATGTGTGTTCGATTTTTTTCATAAAGTAAAGAACAGTTCCTATGACGGGTGTTCCCAGAGTGTAGAACTTGCCCACTTCAGAGAAAACTGACACATTCATACGTAAGTGGCGATTTATATACGAAAAGAAAAAACAAAGACAATATCTTAGTGACACTCATGGTTCTGTCTTCATGAAAACAAACACATTCTGACCAAAAAGGAACCGTGTATTGCAATGGTGACACCAAAAGTGCGCGAAAATTATAACCACTACCGGTTGCATCCGCGTACGTGAAAGTCAATGCCACGGTTAACCCAAGAAAACGGTAAGGCCGAGAAGCTACAAATAACATTTCTTCTGTCTATTTTCTATTTCGTCAACTATTTTTAGGACTGCATCTTAAAACGCTGAGCCAAACAGACAGAAAAGCTAACGCCATTACTTTTTAATCTAGCGTCACAAAAACTGATAAGAAAAAAATAACCGACAATCAGCCACAACAGCCATGAATCCTGCCTGCGTATTTCACAACTTACGCCTCGGATATATCTGAAGGAGTGTGAAAAACCGCTAGCTCAAATACTTGTCATTTAAAAGGTCGAGAAACGTTTTAGCTCTGACATTCTATAGTAAGCAAAAATATATTGGAATGTCCAACATGCTTACCTGAACTTAATGGTTCCCTATTATAAGCTGTAGATAGGATTTTTTTTTAAGTCCTCGTTTATTATAAGCTGTATCAGATATATGCCGGGCATCAACTGCTAGGATGACATAATCTTCTCCACTCTCTGCATGCGTTGCGCCAATACTGTAACGCCGCCGGCGTCTGTAATCGCCCCCATGCAGTCAGTTCCTGCAGCTTACAACAGCTTTTTTTGTCAAAGGCTGTACTTAATGTTGTAATTGAATCTCCGAGAAACGTTTAATGCAGTTGTTCACATTTTCTAAGTGCATATTTCAGCAGAGAAGTCCTTCAGATCGAAAACATCTCCGCCAACACATCTGCATTTAGCATTACCCCTTCTTGCCTTGAACCTTATAAAACACAAGAGCGTTAGCTATTCTTTAACTCGTTTTGAAGTTACACAATCTATTTCAACTCGTTAACTGGCTTTCCTTCGCAACCGATCCCGAGTCAACTTTTTTTTTCTTCAAACCGGCTGTTCGATGTTTTTCAACATAGATAGTGTTCAGCCCTTCTCTGTCTACACGCGCTCTGCTCACCAGCAAGTGTGGAGATCTTCTTCTGTCAGGTCGACAATACCAAAGTTTAGGTTTTCTACAAATTGCTTTTGAATTTTGGCTTGACACCAATTTCAGGGCACCTGCTACTTTTTCAAACCTATGGAGTATTTTCAGGGTTAGTTTGTTTTCATGCTGGTGTCTGTTGCAAGTTTTATGCCGACAGGATTATTTCTGGAGCAGTTCACTCACCACTTTGTGTGTGTTTTTCTCAGAGAGTGTCATCATAAAAAGTGTTACAAAAGTACATGAAAGACGATAAAGCTGAATCATTGGCAGGAGGCTCGGCTAAATCTGTGGCGGCTCTGTCTTGTGCGTGTGTTTTTCGACCTCGTAAAATCTTCGAATCGTATACGCGGACACTGTTGTTCTTTAAGTTCCTCTGTGGAATGTCAGGGTAGAATTGATACATAGAACACAATGCTTGTTGTTAGTGCCGGTTACAATGAGTTTGTTTGTTGTTTTACGCCGCACTCAGCAATATTCAAGCCACATGACGGCGGTCTGTAAATAATCGAGTCTGGACAAGACAATCCAGTGATTGATATCATGAGCATTGATCCACGCAGTTGGGACTGATGACATGCATCAACCAAGTCAGCGAGCCTGACCACCCGATCTCGTTAGTCGCCTTTTACGACAAGCATGGGTTGCTGAAGACCTCTTCTACCCCCGAATCTTCACGGGTTACAATAAGGATCGGAAAGTCACAGGTTACAATGAGGATCGGATAGTCACAGGTTACAATAAGGATCGGATAGTCACAGGTTACAATAAGGATCGGATAGTCACAGGTTACAATAAGGATCGGATAGTCACAGTTTACAATAAGGATCGGATAGTCACAGTTTACAATAAGGATCGGATAGTCACAGGTTACAATAAGGATCGGATAGTCACAGGTTACAATGAGGATCGGATAGTCACAGGTTACAATAAGGATCGGATAGTCACAGTTTACAATAAGGATCGGATAGTCACAGTTTACAATAAGGATCGGATAGTCACAATCTCCGACCTGTTGTTATTGTCCCTCGACGGCAAGGATTGTTGCTCTTGCTATCAACCATTGGTGCCCGTCCAGATTCGATTATTAATTTTCTTTTTCAGGCCGGTGTGATTTTTGTTGTTTGCCTGATGTTTCAAGCCCTACTCAGCAATATCCCAGCTATGTGTTGGTGGCATGAAAACAATCGGGTCTGGACAAGACAATCCAGTGATTGATATTATGAACAACGATCCACACTGTCGGGGTACGGTGCCGCAATGAAAGAAGTCACGGAGTGACGATCCATTTGATCCGGCCGATCATTGATTGCTGGGGATCAATTCTAGTCATGCAGATGGCGGCGTAAAATATTGGTCACTCGCGCTCTTTCAGTTAAATCATGACTGTTAATGAACACGTTCTAAGTGATATAACAGTCGAGGATATTCAGTAAACATATCTGCAATTACAAGATCAACTAACTTTCGCAGTAGCCTCATGGTTAGAATTAGTTATGTTGGTTTGAGAATGCTAGCGTACATTTTCCCCATGTGAATAGATAAATACTTGTGCACTTAAAGGAATCATTTATCTACTTACAATCTTCTTTTAGAGGTTATAACATCATTGGCACATAACACGTTAAAGGCCACTAAATTGCCAATGTATGATATATTTAACAACTGATACGTTATGAATCGTTACCATTTATCGCATCAATGAATTATCGTGTTTGTTCTGGCATTATACGGTTGGCAACTGTTTGCAAAGATAGTGTATGTTATTGTACTGGAACTATAGTATAGATTTACTAATGGGAATGTTTTACGTCGCTCTAGTGAGCCTTGTGGCATTATGACGATCGTATTTGAACTTTTCAATATGTGGTTTATTGATATGATATTTGAGTTTAACCTTTTCTGCTCCATTTCAAGCGACAAGATAGATAGATATATATAGGTGAGGTGAGGTGAAATTGGGTTTAACGCGTCCAATATTATTGCACTTATATAGCGACGTGCATGTACGTGTGTGTGTGTTTGTGTGGCTGCTTGTACTAGTCCGGACTGATGCCGATTTATAGTGCTAGCTCACTGAGATACCATGCCGCAGTTTAACATGAATACCCCACTCAGACACAGTATACTGACTCCGAGCCGACCAGTCCTTGTTTTAGCCCCTTAATGCCGAGCGCCAGACAGGGTAACAACAAGTACCATCTTTTAACGTCTTTGGTATGACGCGGCCGGGGATCGAACCCCGGACCTTCCGCTCTCCGGGCGGACGCTCAACCACTAGACCACGGAGGCGGTCTATATATATATATATATATAATGAGGAAGCTAGTTCACAATTATAAAATTCAATTTTCTTGAGATTCTTATATCGATATAATGATTTTTCATTTCATGTATAGTTCTTGTATGTTTCATCTTACAGATGCGGATCGGCATCCATACGGGATCTGTGTTGGCTGGGGTTGTGGGCACCAAGATGCCTAGATACTGTCTGTTTGGAAACAACGTCACCATCACAAACAAGTTTGAATCCGGCAGCGTTGCCCTGAAGATTAACGTCAGCCCAATCAGTTACAAGTAAGGACGTCATTATAATTATTTAACCTGAAATAAATGCTATTCAGATCTACTTTATCAACATATCATCTCTTCTCTTTCCTTGCATTTATTGTAAAATGTCACCATTTATACACGTATCCTTTATTTTATTGTGTTTCCTTTCCGGCTCCTTTATTGTCATGTATTAAGGCCTTAAACTCAAGTTATTATTGATAAGCCTTTATTCTGTTTCCTTTCCGGCTCCTTTAATGTCATGTTTTATGGCCTTAAACTCAAGTTATTATTGATAAGCCTGTATTCTGTATTTTCTTTCCGGCTCCTTTAATGTCATGTTTTATGGCCTTAAACTCAAGTTATTATTGATAAGCCTGTATTCTGTATTTTCTTTCCGGGTCCTTTAATGTCATGTTTTATGGCCTTAAACTCAAGTTATTATTGATAAGCCTTTATTCTGTATTTTTCCAGCTCCTTTAATGTCATGTTTTATGACCTTAAACTCAAGTTATTATTGATAAGCCTTTATTCTGTTTCCTTTCCGGCTCCTTTAATGTCATGTTTTATGGCCTTAAACTCAAATTCTTATTGATAAGCCTTTATTCTGTTTCCTTTCCGGCTCCTTTAATGTCATGTTTTATGGCCTTAAACTCAAGTTATTATTGATAAGCCTTTATTCTGTATTCTTTCCTGCTCCTTTAATGTCATGTTTTATGGCCTTAAACTCAAGTTATTATTGATAAGCCTTTATTCTGTATTCTTTCCGGGTCCTTTAATGTCATGTTTTATGGCCTTAAACTCAAATTATTATTGATAAGCCTTTATTCTGTATTTTTCCAGCTCCTTTAATGTCATGTTTTATGACCTTAAACTCAAGTTATTATTGATAAGCCTTTATTCTGTTTCCTTTCCGGCTCCTTTAATGTCATGTTTTATGGCCTTAAACTCAAATTCTTATTGATAAGCCTTTATTCTGTTTCCTTTCCGGCTCCTTTAATGTCATGTTTTATGGCCTTAAACTCAAGTTATTATTGATAAGCCTTTATTCTGTATTCTTTCCTGCTCCTTTAATGTCATGTTTTATGGCCTTAAACTCAAGTTATTAATGATAAGCCTTTATTCTGTATTTTCTTTCCTGCTCCTTTAATGTCATGTTTTATGGCCTTAAACTCAAGTTCTTATTGATAAGCCTTTATTCTGTATTCTTTCCTGCTCCTTTAATGTCATGTTTTATGGCCTTAAACTCAAGTTATTATTGATAAGCCTTTATTCTGTATTCTTCCCGGCTCCTTTAATGTCATGTTTTATGGCCTTAAACTCAAGTTATTATTGATAAGCCTTTATTCTGCATTCTTTCCAGCTCCTTTAATGTCATGTTTTATTACCTTAAACTCAAGTTATTATTGATAAGCCTTTATTCTGTTTCCTTTCCGGCTCCCTTTAATGTCATGTTTTATGGCCTTAAACTCAAGTTCTTATTGATAAGCCTTTATTCTGTTTCCTTTCCGGCTCCTTTAATGTCATGTTTTATGGCCTTAAACTCAAGATGATAAATGATAAAGAAACAGTGAGACGTTTACGATGGTAAGTCGGAAGGCCTGGCAATTGCAACATCGATAGGTGTTGAAGTATGCCTGTCAATTTATACAATGGTTGTTGATGGCACACATAGCTGTAGGTTATCGAATCAGCAATTAATTAAGTGGAAAGTAGTGATTAACTTGGAAACATACCGGTCATTCATGAATAATGACCGGAACCGAAGTGTGCGTCTAATAAGATTATGCGAAGACGTATGCTCTATGATAACTCTACCATACCTTTTACAAGCGGACCGGCAAATCTGGCGAACACAATCTGATAACAACCACTTCCAATCGGAACACATCCATCATATTATGTGTAATTATGATGATATTTATAGTTCATCCTGTTGTTGTCGTCTCCGCGTTATCGGCGTGTCCAATCACAGCGCACGAGAAATAATCTTGCTGAGTGCATCACGTCTTGAGATAAGATGGCTGACTGAGTATAGTGAACACCTGTCAGGTTTCTCGCTGTAGTTTCGTACCACCTCGTGAGTTTGCATGTTTATTGCTAAATAATCGGAAGGATTTGACTGATATTGTTTATCTAATACTCCGAAGTTTCGCTGTATCTGTAAATAGAAGTAGATTTAGAGGTATCGTATCCTCTACATCACTGAGCTATTTATATATACACACAGACATTTATATACAGATGGACGGATTGCAAGATTGGGGGGAATAGGTAAATGTAACATTATTCTATGTATAAAACACGGTAGGTCAGAAATTATGCCAAACATAATGCAACAGGACGCGATAATAATCACTTGGCATGGTAGACACAGGAAAATAATGTGTTTGAGTGAATATGATTTTAGGACGTAGTTAGATATACAATGTCATGTAACAGTAAAATTGTAAATCAGGAGTTGTTGGGTCTGGTAAAAGTAAACCAGTGGTCAATGGAGTGAACAGCAAGCATTGATGGGGGTATCCAGTGACACTGCATAGGATGATAATTGCCAAAACTCTAGGTGGTGACCCATCTATGAAATATCCATTCTGAACTATTGTAAAAGCCACCCGATACTCATTTTATCGTATCTCTTTCTGAGGATTTAAGCGGGTACGAGACCCAGGACGAAGAGAGTGCTGGACAGAGGGTTAGGGTTGAGATGGGTGTATTAGATGAAGTCATATAGTCACCGTCAACAGGAACTGGAATAGTGTGTGAGTGAGTTGCGTTATATCAAGGCGTATCAGCTTCAATGAAATGGGAGGAAAAAAACAAGCGATGCAGGTGGAATTCGATTTAATATTAATATATACACTCATGAATTTTATGTTTGTCTTTTTCAGTTTACTGCGGGACACCCCGGGGTTCAACTTCATACCGCGCACGCGCGAAGACCTTCCACCCGGATTTCCGGAAAACGTTGAAGGCGTACCACTATTTCTGGAAAGTTACACACATCCGGGCGTTCCAGAGTCGGACATCGAGACGACGGACCACATCGCTTTAGCCCTTGAACATTACGACCTGTCGGCGGAGAGATGATCTTTATATGTATTTATCAGGATTATTTAATTTTCATTATCAGAGCGAATTGTGATACATTTGCAGCAGACTATATGCATCATTTTAGAGGTGTATAAGTCAGCTAGACAGAAATTAGTCCCCTTGTTCACCTCATCAGAACATATTTTAAGTCTGTCAAACGGGTTTAGTCGTTTTAAATTTTCAGGCAGGTTTTGACAGAGAGTCGACAAGTGTTAGGATGTAGTGGTCAAATTGCTTAACATTTGGCACTGAAGTCTGTGATATTGAATCCTCGATGTTTATTATTTCATCCCTATTTATTTCTTTGTATTTATACTATTGCTTTAACCACGCATGTATGCTTACCAAAGAATCCACAAACCTAAGTTTATTTTTGTTTCCACGGGGTGGTAAAACAAACCAACCTGAATATGTTTCAAGAGCAAATAATACAAGCAAATTAACCAGCTAACGCTAATTGGGCTCATTATAATGCCATGAACGTTCGTGTTTACTGTCAACGACAATTTGATACTTCATACGCTGTAAAACAGTATGTGTGTTTGAAGTGTTTGGCAAATAGAACATCACTGCAGAAGTAAAGTACAGTATCACTGCTCAAATGCAGCACGAAAATTTTATGATAACACACAAATCAATTGGCTGCTTGATTTAACTGAGAACTGGACCCGGGCTAATTGGTAGCCTGAGCAAGTTTAATTCAAGCCATTTGAAACCTACTGATGCCTGTCAACTCAATTTGTTTTATTGATTGTATGCTAATCTATAGTGAATTAATTGCAAAAGTTAGATCTGGACTAGCAAAGGACACTAGACACTGTCTTAACAATCTGTGAGCAACATTTTTATCAGATTTTGTAAACTTTTATAACAACTTGGAAACAGAATAAAACATATGTCAACAGATCTTAGAGATTCGATTTTCTATTTGACCAATGCCACATATTACAGGTATATAAATCGGCAATTCGTCTTTTAAAGTTATTCGAGTTTTAAGGGTTTACGTGGATTGTTCGAGAAACAGCATCATATGCTTTACAATCTGAATCTTCATCAGTTAGATGTCAAGGGAATTGGTGAAAGTCCAGGACAGATCATTATCACAATGAACGTTATTGCTCATCCAGATTTACAAACATTAACGACTTATGATTTGGTAAAGCCTCCACACTGTGTAGTGTGTAATATCCACACTGTCGTGCATAGTCATGAGGTTAATATGCATTGGTTTTGTTCATGTGTGTGTCCTGCACCGTCTTCTATACATTGTATACCCAATAGGGTTGTCTGAAATGATACTGAATATGGTCTCTTGAAATTTGAACACAGCCTTAGAACAAATGGATCATTTTGTAACCGATCCTATACCTAGTGCCACATGCTGCAATTTTGTTCGATTTAAGTACATTTTAAACTCTTTTTTTTGTTTAGCGTTTGATATAATTACGTTGGCTAGAAGGATGGGGATGCTACCTTGTTAAGTGACCACCCTTATGCATCGGCAGACACTGGACCCTTGACTAAAGAATTCCAATGCTCCAGATCTCGAAATCTCCTTTGATGTTTTTATTTGTCAGATATCACTTAAATCGAGCGAAAATGAAAATTCTACGAGGATGTGGGCTTTTTCTTCAAATCCCTCTTAATCAATAGAGTGTTTTCTGATCAAAGCAACAATTTTTTGTTTCCCTTTTTACAAGAAGAAATACCGCCTCATTTTTCAAAAGTATCATATTAAAACAATGTCGTCTCAGAATTAGTTCAATCAAAGATATTTGCTACAGCAGAATGGCAGATATTTCCTTGTCCACGATACAGAGTTTATGCATACAATGCCTAGGAATCAACCCGTTTCTGGCTAGATGTTTGTGTTTGGGTTCTTTCATATGCTCGGTGGTGTTAATGTGAGGAGCTGCGATGACCCTTCTGTAAAAGTGCATTACCTTAAGTTTGTTCATATTAAGGGGACACTAATGGCTCACTCCTCCTAAGGCGCCGAAATTCGTTGTGTTGAGTTGAGGCCTACGCGCGCCGAGGTACGCTCCAATCCTGGTTTCGTACTGATAAATATTCTTGGTATGTCAGTACTCATACCATACACATTGGTTTCAGCAATACGATGAGGTTTCCGTCACTTTCGTGACATTTAAAGCTGGCTGACCGTGATAAAACCGAAATAGTGTTACAAAACGGTGTGAAACAAGACATTGAATGAATGCAATCATTACAAAATATTTACAAATACATCTGCACAGTTAACATGATGACAGATACGCTTATGTGTCTCTTGTGGAAAACAAAATCGCGATTTGTTGTTCTGTCACATTTTTTCTGTTAATTATCAACTTTTTTGTCTTCAACAATGTAAAGTGAAAAAAATATATATGTTCACAGATGCAACAGTATACGTATCACATTTGTAAATGATATAACAATATGTTTGTTTGTTTTGAATTATCACCAATATGCCATGTGTCACACTGTAAGTTGTATGTCTGTGAGATTTTCGGTGAGCAATGCCCTGAAATTGTCAAATGTCATTAACTACTACACAATATTCAGTATGACATACACTGTGCACTGACCAACATGACTTCTTTAAAGTCTACGCCAATCACCTAGAGCTCTTCACTACTCAACACAAAATGTGCACAGCTTTCCTTTCGTCTATTTAACCCGCAAATTCGCCTGTATCGACAAGTTTACACATCATTGCTTGCTCTTTCACACGTTAATATACACATGCATTTATGCATAAATCCATCACGCCAGATCGATATTTCAATTCAAAATACCTTAAAGTTGAAAAGAAATTTAAATAATAGAGCAGGTATTTTCATGAATAGTTATAATTCTTCTGCGCTTAGTTTGTGTAAGGCAACATGTTCTCGAAAACAACCCAAGTATCATAGACAATGCAAAGCCCCATAAACCCGGACACCCTTCATCATGAAACCGTTTCTTGACGATTGCTTTATGCTAGATCTAAATATTATTGAAAGACATTTCCACGTTCCCATAATCCATTAATCCGGAACTTTGATAGTTCACCCGAGTTCACTGAGATCGGTACCGTCCGGAGCGACTGGTTTTTACTGTAGTAGGATACTCCGAAATTTACCAGGATTGACTTGGTTTTCTGGAATAAAATACTTCTAAATTTACCAGGATTGACTAGGTTTTCTGGAGTAAAATACTTCTAAATTTACCAGGATTGACTTGGTTTTCTGGAGTAAAATACTTCTAAATGTACCAGAATTGACTAGGTTTTCTGGAGTAAAATACTTCTAAATGTACCAGGATTGACTAGGTTTTCTGGAGTAAAATACTTCTAAATTTGTACTACAGTAAGATACTTCTATATTTACTGGGATTGACTGGGGTTTTATTGTAGTGATTACTTCTACATTACCTGGATTGACCTGGTTTTCTGTAGTAAGATTCTTCTAGATTTACCAGGTAAAACGGGGTCTACTATCATAAGATACTTCTTAATTTACCAGGATTGACTGTGGTAACACTCTTCGAAATTGACCAGGACATACGGGGTCTACTATCATAAGATACTTCTAAATTTACCAGTATATACTGGTTTTACTAAGATACTTCTAATCTAACCTAAGTCATCACTAGGAGCTACATGTTGTTCCCTATGCAGATCAAACACTTTGTTAATATTTTCGTGTCATTATACCACACACTGCGTCTGCGAAGATACTTTGTATTTGATTTCTCCTAGATCATACCTGCACACGTTTGTACTACTGAGGTGTTTGGCGATGTATTATATTCATTGTTTGTATTGATAATACATGCGATCATGTCGAGATAATGACAACAGAACTGTCTGACACTACACATGCAATGTTTGTACTTACACTTTATGTCGACCTTCTACAAAACTGGTTGCAGGACGTCTCGTACTAAACACAATGTTTGTTTGTCGTCAACGAGCAATTATTCCTTGAGACATTATCACCGCCTGAAATATCAATCCTTAATGTTTTTTTATGTAATTACATCCCATTGCTAAGTGTGTCACAAAATTAGCGTTACCAAAGCAATATCACAATATAGTAGACAAATGCATCAATATATATGCACCTCCACTGCATAACGGCCCTTCACTTCAATACGTACCAATTCACACTGTTGAAGAATTCTGAAACAATGGCACGTAACTCTCCGACGGATGTTTATAATATGTAATTAATATATTTGTGTGGCGATATTGACATGTCAATGTAACACCTGTTCCATTATATTTCTACAAATGGGATATATTTACCATATTGTACGATGCCGTCAAAATGTCTGCTTGTTGACGAACGTCTATGTATAGACCAGGTCATCCCTGTTCTATATCAGCAGATGTTATGGTATTTCGTTGTGTGATCACGCACCTGTTTTAGTGAGAATCCGTCGTGTGTACGTGGGGGCAACACATTTGCATATCATTTATGTATTGGCATTATATGCAGTATGCGAGTCGATGAAATAAATGCACCATTTACAAAGATTGTGTTCTGTTATATTCCGAGATGCCGGTTTTGGAGTAGTGCTGGCAATGTGACTGACCACTTATATCATAGACACATCTGTATCGGCTACGAATGTTGGGGCCAAACATGGTCATCAATTAGTACATTGATTTTGATAGCAGATGGTTGTCTAGGTACTCATTCTGCAGTAGTTCTACACAACTTCAACCGCGAAAAGAGACTCGACGGTTTTCTCAATTCATGGCAAGAAACGGCAGCCACTTCTTGTGTACACCTCCTGTAGTCCATTGTTGAAAAGTAGCAGGAAAGTTTGAAGCGGACAAAACTCGTATGAAGTATATTAAGAAACAGGAAAATAATAAGTAACAAACAACACTTTCAATTCACTAATGCAAGTAAATAATGCCCATAAGAAACGTCTTGCCCCTCACTTTTGTAATCAAATGCCTTATATCAGATATGTCTTGCCCGTCACTATTATAAACAAATATTGTCTATCGGAAACGTCTTGTCCCTTACTATTCTGAGCAAATGTCTACATGAAACTTTTAGCCCCTACATATTGTAAGCAAATAGTTAACATCGGAAACGTCCTCACTATTGTAAACGATTGATGTATATCAGAAACGGCTGATCCCTTACTAATGTAAGCAAATATTGTCTATCATAAACGTCTTGTCCCTTACTATTCTAAGTAAATGTTGTCTACAAGAAACTTTTAGCCCCTACATATTGTAAGCAAATAGTTTACATCGGAAACGTCCTCACTATTGTAAACGATTGATGTATATCAGAAACGGCTGATCCCTTACTAATGTAAGCAAATATTGTCGATCATAAACGTCTTGTCCCTTACTATTCTAAGCAAATGTACATTTGTCTACAAGAAACTTGTAGCCCTTCTATATTGTAAGCAAATAGTTTACATCGGAAACGTCCTAACCATTGTAAACGATTGATGTATATCAGAAACGGCTGGTCCCTTACTAATGTAAGCAAATATTGTCGATCATAAACGTCTTGTCCCTTACTATTCTAAGCAAATGTTGTCTACAAGAAACTTTTAGCCCCTACATATTGTAAGCAAATAGTTTACATCGGAAACTTCCTAACTATTGTAAACGAATGATGTATATCAGAAACGGCTGATCCCTTACTAATGTAAGCAAATATTGTCTATCATAAACGTCTTGTCCCTTACTATTCTAAGCAAATGTACATTTGTCTACAAGAAACTTGTAGCCCTTCTATATTGTAAGCAAATAGTTTACATCGGAAACGTCCTCACTATTGTAAACGATTGATGTATATCAGAAACGGCTGATCCCTTACTAATGTAAGCAAATATTGTCTATCATAAACGTCTTGTCCCTTACTATTCTAAGCAAATGTACATTTGTCTACAAGAAACTTGTAGCCCTTCTATATTGTAAGCAAATAGTTTACATCGGAAACGTCCTCACTATTGTAAACGATTGATGTATATCAGAAACGGCTGGTCCCTTACTAATGTAAGCAAATATTGTCGATCATAAACGTCTTGTCCCTTACTATTCTAAGCAAATGTTGTCTACAAGAAACTTTTAGCCCCTACATATTGTAAGCAAATAGTTTACATCGGAAACTTCCTAACCATTGTAAACGAATGATGTATATCAGAAACGGCTGATCCCTTACTAATGTAAGCAAATATTGTCGATCATAAACGTCTTGTCCCTTACTATTCTAAGCAAAATAATGTTGTCTACAAGAAACTTGTAACCCTTCTATATTGTAAGCAAAAAGTGTCTATCAGAAACGTTTTGCACCTATCTATTGTGAACGAATGATGTATATCAAATATGTCTTGCCCCTCACTATTGTAAGCAAATGATGTATATAGTAAACTTCTTGCCCCTAACTACTGTAGGTAAATGTTGTCGAACAGAAACTTCTTACCCCTCGCTACTGTAGGTAAATGTTGTCGAACAGAAACTTCTTACCCCTCGCTACTGTAGGTAAATGTTGTCGAACAGAAACTGCTTGCCCCTCGCTACTGTAGGTAAATGTTGTCGAACATAAACTTCTTGCCCCTCGCTACTGTAGGTAAATGTTGTCGAACATAAACTTCTTGCCCCTCACTATTGTAAACAGAAGCGCATGTGGTCCATCCAAAAAAATCTTGCCTAATGTAAGCAAATGTTTCTATGGGGGCTTGCCCCTCACTAATGAACGCAAATGTTTCTTATCATAGGGTTGCCGCGTTTGTAACGTATCCTAAGTCTAATATTCCGTCTCTCCTTCACATCCTTGCCCTTCACTAATATACGCTAATGTTTCTTTATCAGCGGCATGACTCGCGACACTCAGTAATGTAAGCAAATATGCCGTCTCTCTATCACAGGCTTGGCCTTTACTAATATACGCAAATATTTCTTATCATAGATTTGACGCGTTTGTAATGTATCCTAAATCTAATATGCCGTCTCTCTATCACAGGCTTGGCCTTTACTAATATACGCAAATGTGTATTTATCATATAGTTGACGCCTTTGTAACGTAAGCAAATATCTCTCTTTCACAAGATTGCCCTTCACTAATGTAAGCACATGTTATCTCTCTATTAGAGGATTGTCCCTCACAAATATAAGCAAACGTTTCTTTATCAGAGGCTTGACTCGACAGTAATGTCAGCAAATATATTTTTATCAGAGGCTTGACTCGTCAGTAATGTAAGCGAATGCTGTCTCTCTATTAGAACTTGCCCCTCGGTAATGTAAGCAGATCTCTCTATATGCTACAGCTGCTAATACAAGTGTTTTAAACTATAACACGTGACCTACATTTTGTTACAATGTGCTATAAGTGCACTGTTTATATAATGTCAT